GTAGCTCTGCTGTTCATTGTTGTAGAGCGCTCTAGCAGGTTGTTAGGCTGGCAGGTACTCAGCGGCGCAGAGTGGCCACAGAGAATGGATTCCCCCCAGACTGTCCTCTGACCTTCACACATACACACGAGATAAATAGGTGTACTAAAAAGATTAATAAAAAGGGGGCTGACAAGATGGTTTTGTAATTATAGGAATCTGTTGTTAAGCCTAGTAACCCAAGTTCTTCCAGAACCCACGCTGTAGAAGGAAATACCCAATTCCTGAAAAGCTGTCCTCTGACCTCCATATGTGCTACACACACACTCACACGTATACATCTAATTTAAAGGAGTTAAGGGGCTTTTTTTTTTTTAAATGGTTGTCAAAGGTGTAATTTTCACATGTCACACAGAGGCCTTTAAAGCACTTACTTTGGTACTACAGTCTAAAACTTTAAAAAAGAAAATGACCCGGGCCTTTTGCATGCGTGTTACAGCTGTGTAACTTGATCTTCTTATGGGGCTCCTAACAGTGGGAGCAGGGGCTGTGTGTGACTCCTGCCTGCTTTTGGGACCCTTTCCTCCTACCAGACTGCCTCACCCAGCCTTAATGGAAGAGGAGGAGCCTAGTCTCCCTGCAACACCAATTCCACAGCTGGCTGATCTCCATGGGAGGTCCACCTGTGTCTGAAGAGAAACAGAGGAGTGGCTGGGGGCAGTAGGGAGGAGGAGACAAGGGAGGGAAAACTTTGGTTAGGGCATAAAAACAACAAAAAATTAAAACAGTAGTATCCCAGGGTGGGAGATAACAGTGTTGGGAGAGTGCTTGCCTGGCATCCACAGAATGGGTAACTACAGCCCAGAATCACAGCCCTCGGCACGTGGAGGCATGAGGGTCAGAGTCACCCTTGCTAGCTCAGATAGCAAGTTCAAGGCCGTCCCAGAGGCTGAGACCTGCTCTCAACAGCCACACTAGCCTGCCAAGCACGTAAGTAGATCTCTTTGGGTGTGTCAAAGTCTTGCCCATTCAAGTCACACTTGCACTGCCCAAACACATAAGAAGCATGTGGCATTCAGACTCCGACAGTCGTGACCCTAGTCAGTGCCACGGCTGGGACTCTTCAGTTCAAGTCTTACACCTGCAGTGCACTGAGGGCTGGAACGGTCAGGACTGGGACTCTCTGGCCTCTTCCCTCTGCTTCCTCCTCTCTCAGATCTCTCTACTGTGCTGCTGATACTGCTGTGTAGTAAAATAATCCTTTGGGCTTGGCGGCATCAGATCGCACCCTCCCAAGCCTCGTCATCTACTGCCAGCTACCCTACTTACGTCCTGGCTAGGGACCACATCTAACTCTGCCAATGAGTGCCACGCGCCTCCCAGACCTGCCTGTTGAGTGACACTGTTTAGGCAACAGCACTGTGTGCTCTCCTGCCCAGGCCTCGTGAGGCACGTAAGACACACTGTCCTCCTGGACACTCAGAGCCCATGCCTACTGGACGTCGGGAGCTCTGAGTTTGATTAGTCCTGGGGTTGGGGGCACTAGAGGTCAGATTCCTTTTATCATGTAGGTTCTTCGACTGAACCCTGGACATCAGGCTTGGCAGCAAACGCTTTTGCCCACTGAGCCATCTGAACCCTCTCTCAGCATTTTACTCCTTGTACAATAGAAAAGCAAGTTATGTCCTTGGTCTCAGCGTAGCACTCACTGGGGCTCACAGGTCCCGGTCTGCCTACATAAGGACTGAAAACTGTATTTTAAAAATACATCTAGATATATGGGTAGTCATACAAATGTCTGTTGGAAATCCCATGGGAATTGTGGCCAAGGGAACACACATAAAGAAAAAGCATTTCTAAATTTGGGTCACTAAGGTCTGTGAGTGTAACCTTGTAAGCCCTGTGACTCACACTTGCTCACACTTGGGGGTGGAAACAGCACACATTATGAGGAAGTAGCCCTGCCTTGCCTAATAATCAGTGTCAAGTCACAGTGTGGGAGCCGGGTGGTGGTGGGGGGGGGCACACCTTTAATCCCAGCACTCTGGAGGCAGAGGCAGGTAGATCTCTGTGAGTTTGAGGCCAGCCTGGTCAACAGAGCTAGTTCCAGGACAGGCTCCAAAGCTACACAGGGAAACCCTGTCTTAGAAAAATTAAAAACAAAACAAAGCAAAATCAAACATGGGGTTCTCATCTGTAATCTCCGCGCACTAGCGTCTACCATAGGAGGGTCACTGCCAGCCTGAGCTGCGTCATGAACTCAGACCAGATTTGGCTACAGTAAGAGCTGTCTCAAAGGAAAAGGGGGAAACAAACAAACCTGAAGGATTACCCTTATACCCCCAGCATTTGTGAGGCTGAGGCAGAATGAGTATGAAAACCTGTTTAAAGAGGAAACTGGAAGGGGCGGGAGAGAAAGCTCAGCAGACGAGAGCCCTGGCTGCTTGTAGTGGTTTGAAATACAATGGCCCCCAGAAGGAGCAGCACTATTAGGAGGTGTGGCCTTGTTGAAGGAAGTGTGTCACTGTGGAGGCAGGCCTTGAGGTCTGTCTCAAGCTTCACTCGGTGCAACAGTCAGTTGGCTACCTGTAAAATGTAGGTCTCGCAGCTATTCCAGCACTACTGCGTGCCGCCATACTCCCTGTCATGATGACAATGGACTGAACCTCTCTCTGAAACTGTCAGCCAACCACTCCAATTAAATCTTTTCTCTGTAAGAGTTGCCATGGTCATGGTGTCTCTTCACAGCAATTAAACAAATAAAAAACCCCTAAGGCACTGCTCTTGCAGAGGATCCAGGTTCAATTCCCAGCACAGACATGGCAACTCACAACTCTTAAATTTTATTTTATTTTTATTTTTGTGGGGAGGTTGCAGGGGCAGAGAGTGGGTGTGAGGGGACAGGAGATGGGTGGGATTGGGATGCATGATGTGAAAAACACAAAGAATAAGTAAAAAAGAAAGTTAAAGAAGAAAAAGCAGGTTGAGCAAGCCACGATGAATAAGCCAGTTAGCAGTATCCTCCATGGTCTCTGCATCAGCTCCTGCCTCCAGGATCCTGCCCTGCTTTGGTTCCTGTCCTGCTTTCCTTTGATGATGAGCAGTGATGTGGAAGTGTAAGCCAAGTAAACCCTTTCTTCTCCAGCTTGCTTTTGGGTCATGGTGTTTCATCACAGCAATAGAAACCCTAAGACAAGTGCCGCCTTTCTTCTTGATATTGTAGGCGAGGGGCGTAGCAAAGAAACCGAAGACTTGACTTCTCCATTAGGGGGAAGGTTTTGGTTGTGAATAAAAGAGAGACTATTCAGAAGCATCTGGAAGAGTCCAGAGAAGAGAGAGAAAAAAATAACCCTAGGCAGGGCTAGGGAAGTGGGAGAGAAAGAGAGAGAGAGAGATTTAGAAAAGGAGTGAGTAGGTTGGGGGAGGGACTCCTTTCGGGGATTAAAAAACCCATTTCACAAGTTCCTGAGGAATGCTGGTCTTTAGCCGCTGGGAACCCTATAGTCTAACTCAAGCTCATTTCTAGACATACGGAGACCTAGCAAGTAGCTAAACAACTTACCGGTTTCTGAAAATAGCAAACATAACAATCTGTATCTATTAACTAGGATCTTACTAAGTAGGTTTTTCCAAGGCACCCAAGAAGAAAACATCACCAGGTGATGTGAACATACATCTTCGCTGTGTGAAGCACACATGGTGGCATGTGAACTCAGGTTATGTGAGTTTTGACTCAGCATCCTGTAGGCGGGGTTTTTGTCAGATCTCCGGCTCCCCAATAAACAACACAGAGATTTATTATTAATTTTAAATACTTGACTGATAGCTTAGGCTTATTACTAGCTCTTACAACTTAAATTAGCCCATTTCTGAAAGACTCTCGAAGAGGTCCTTCTCTCGGGAGGAGACCTCCCAGACGCCAAGGAACAGGCTGAGACCACACGGATGCAAATCGCAAGAGGTTTATTGGGTAAACACAGGTACCTGAGGGCAGCAAAGTCTTTCGGAGGACTTGCGCGCCTGCCAACTGGAGGGAAGAATTTTTATAAGGAAGAGCAAAAAGCAAGTTTACAGAAGCAAAAGCGTGGTTATCGGAATGAGGCGGGGGCATGAATGGTTTCCTCTCTCAGCATGGGTGTCAGCAAAAGTCATCCTGTTCCTATCTTATAGATATCCTGTTTTGCAGTCAACCTGCTTTGTTGATGTCCTATCTTATTGATATCCTGCCTTGCAGTCTTCCTATCTCATAGACATCCTGTTCTCTTAAGCACATGGGATGTTCTTACGAGAGCAGGCTGGCTGCTGATCTGGAGAATTTTTTTTTTAAGCAAACAGGACGTTCCCCCGGGAGCATGCTAGCTGTAGGGTCTTTCAATTTCTATTCATTTACATGCTATTACATGGCCCGTGGATTGTTTTTATTTTCTACACATTCTGCTCCCTCTGTCTGGCAACCCTGCCCTTCTGCTTCTCCGAGTTCTCTCAGTTTCCTCTCCTGCCTAACCTCTCCCTGCCTAGCTATTGGCCAGCTGGCTCTTTATTAAAGCAACAAGAGCAACACATACAAAATGGTTATTCCACAGCAGCTTCCATATCATGTCCTGGTCTGGCAGACACTCCGTGTCTCCTTTTCTTGTTTTGTTTTTTGGTACATGGTCCCATCTATTTCAGGGTAGCCTCGAACTGCCTTTGTAGCTGAGGAGGATTTTGAACTCCTGATCTTCCTGCCTCTACCTCTTGTGATAGGATTACAGGTTTGTGCAATGCTGTTCGGTTTATGCAGTGTGGGTTCTCGAACCTAGGGATAAGCAAGCACTCTAAAAAATGAGCTATGTCTCCCATCTATCTGTGCCTCAGTTTGGTATTTCCCTTCTCCTCAATGAATGAGTGTCTATACCCACCTTGAAGTCAACTGCTCTGGCTCCATTCCTCCCGGAGTGCTGGTTCCAGCCAAGGCTGTGTGCACAGGCATGAAATGGTCCCTCCTACAGGGACTGGGCAGGGTGCCCAGCGCCTCACATGCTGGTTTCGTTTCTTCCGGTCCTGTTGTCAACATTCCAAGGCAGCAGAGCTGAGGAATCGAAACTAAAGTCCCTCAGCCTTGGTTCTAAGAAAATGAAACAGGAAAGAGGCAGCCACTGCAGTGAAAGCCTGTTCAAACCGGTTTCTTGAGCTACCCCACCCAGCCACGACTTCAGAAACCAGCCTGGAAACCAGCCTGCCCTGGGGCCACAACAGAGGAGGTGAGGAAGGGAATGGGAAGAAGCCATTAAACCTGGGATTCAGTTGCCTTCCGTGCTGAGTGTCAAGAAATTTCAACACCACTGATAAAGGCAGTTATCTGCAGAGATAACGTGTTTTCCTAAAGACAACTCAAAGGAGCAAAGGAAGTGTTAAGTCACAAACCCTAGAACAAATGACCAAGACGCTTACTTAACATATCAAAGCGAACTTGTTCCAGGTTCACCCTCAGCCCCTACAGGGTCCTAGTGGTTTGCATACCCTCCCCCATCCTAAACTTCTCCAGCCCAGAGGGTTGAACTACCCTTCCCCACATAGTTCAGCAATTAGAGTTACCCTGCTGTCTTTTGGGTCTCCTATCTGCTGCACCTGGCTCCCTATCTCCTCACGTGGCTCAGGGTCCTGTCCACTCCAGACTCTCCCAGACATCCTGATAAAATGTTTTCCATTTTATCTACAATAAACCTTCTTCTTCATACCAGGGGACAGCCATGTTCTTCCTTCTTTTCCTTCCTTCCTTCCTTCCTTCCTTCCTTCCTTCCTTCCTTCCTTCCTCTCTCTTTCTTTTTCTCTTTCTCTCTTTCCTTATTTTTTTTTTCATTCAAAGTGTTCTTGCTTGGGGTGAGAAAGTTAGTGGTCTTGAGTTTCAGCCTGTGGACACAATAGATGGAGCCACACACCTCAGAGAGCCCCAGCACAATTTCATCTACAAAGGAAACTCTCAGAGCAGTAAATAAACAAGGACAGACACTTTTATCTAAACTTGGTTTAATCTTTTCAAACTTGCTGTAAATTATGCTCTTTAGACAATATAACTTAGACATAGGATCCTTGGCTGGGTAGTGCTGGCACACATCTTTAATCCCAGCACTTGGGAGGCAGAGGCAGGCAGATTTCTGTGAGTTCAAGACCAGCATAGTCTATAGAGCGAGCCAGAGCCAGAGCTCAGAGCTGGAAAGGTCTGTGCTGTCCCTTTAAGAGACAAGCCTCTCCCACTCCCTTCCCCATCCACTGATGCAGGCAGATCTTCCTGCTTGCAGTCTGAGTCTCTTCCTTTTTCTGTCTCTCTCCCATAGAAGTAGCTACTGCTGTGGTTCCTCTCTTTCCCCAATCTGTCTCTGTCTCTCTCTGCCTCTCTTTGCTCTTCCCCCTTCTCCCCTTCCCTTTCATAACTCACTAAATAAATATCCAACCTCACTCCACATGGTGTGCCTATCCATGTCTCTGTCTCTCACCTGCCACATGGCTCCCAGCCACCTTTGGAGACCTGCAGAGTGATCTCGTGGTGTGCCCATCGATCTGTTTGTCTTTCCTCATGGGACTGGCTGCCCCATGGAGGTCTCTCACCCACCACATGTCTCTTGGCTGGAGAAAAAGATTAAAATGGGAGCGGGAGTGAGCAGTACCAAGACACCATTGAGGTACACGCTGAAGCGCTTCTGGGAGGAGTTTGCAGAGTTGGGCAGATATATGGAGCACCGGCTGTCTCTGGGCAAGACCACTTCCTTGGCTCAAGACCTACGAATGCCCCCTTGTTGGGGACCAAATCCTTTTGGCTTAGCCAGTTTACCCAGAGAAATCCAACACCTCCACCTGTTTTCTCTGCCCTGTAGGAGGAAATTGACACCCCCCCCATTTGCCGTCACAGCCTCTAAACTCACCCAGGAGGAGAAAGTAGCGCCCCCTGCCATGCCAAGGGGCAGGGTTTAGGAGCTGGAGAGATGGCTCAGAGGTTAAGAGCATTGTCTGCTCTTCCAAAGGTCCTGAGTTCAATTCCCAGCAACCACATGGTGGCTCACAACCATCTGTAAAGAGGTCTGGCGCCCTCTTCTGGCCTGCAGGCATACACACAGAGTATTGTATACATAATAAATAAATAAATATTTTTTAAAAAAAAGGGGAGGCAGGGTTTAGTCTTTTCTTCCTCAGGCCCCCTCTCTCTTCCCACATCACCTAGAAATTCTCTTCCTTAGACTCCTTCCAGCTCTGACTGCTCTGTAGTCTTTGTCTCAGTCCTTGTCCTTGTTCTGCTGGGATGATGCTCTCAACTATGGAAGCACCTCCTCTGGTCCTCCTCTGGAGCTCCTCTGATCCCCTCTAGTCTAGTGTTTACAAGAAAGGGGACTAGTTCCCCTGCTGTACTGGTGATAGCAAGGGGTGGGGAGTGTTTTTTTACTTCAGGTCCCCTCTTCCCTCCACACACTCAAGAGTGGCTCTAGCTATGGAGGTTTCAGGGGGAATTTCCCTGAGGCAAAGGCAGCCTCCATCCTTCCCTCATGGGAGGCACCTCTGGTAGGTCCAAGACCTGCAGGTTCCCACTCTCCACCTTCCTTTCAACCAGTTATCTGTGTAATGGGGAAACTCAGAACCAACAGTTCTCCAAGACCCTCAGACTTTCATTAGCCTTCTGTCTTCTACATCCCCAGCTGACCTGGGCTGCCTGTCAGCTCCTGGTCTACACCCCCAGCTGACCTGGGCCGCCCGTGTCTCTGCAAAGCTTGCCAGTTGCCGACCCGGGTAAACCCTAACATTCCAGAAAAACAGCGATCAGTACCGCTTTGTTATACAGTCAGTCCCGGGTATCAGAAGAAGCTTCAGAAGTTAGACGGGTTTGAGGGACAGAATAGGTCACAATTATTAGAGGCTGCTCAACAAGTTTACAATAACTGTAACTCTGTAGGTCTGTGGTTCTCAACCTTCCTAATGCTGAGACCCTTCAATATAGTTCCTCACAGAACACCAACCGTAAAATTATTCTCATTGCTACTTCATGACTGTAATTTTTCTGCCGTTGTAAACCATAATGTCAATATCTATGTTTTTTCTTGGTCTTAGGTGACCCCTGTGAAAGGGTCATTTGATCCCCTGGGGTCACAACCCACAGATTGAGAAACACTGCTGTAGATGAAAAGCGAAACAAAAGATTGACCCAGGCTGTAGGGGTAGCACATAGGGAGACCAAAACAAAGGATCCCATAGGGGGAAGTCAGAGACCCCGGAAGAGGAAGAGATTAGAGGAGGACCAATGTGCTTACTGTAAACAGAAAGGACACTGGGGAAAAAAGACACAAATTGAAACAGTAAAGAAGGACACCCTGGGTAAGGACTGGTAGACCAGGGCTCTATCCACTGAGTGCCCAGGAGCCCAGGCTGACATTAAGGTAGGAGATAAATTTGTTAAATTTCTGGTCAATGCCCAACAAACCCATCAGCTAATTGGGAAAGCCTAGGCACTGGGACCTGCAAGTGGCTGGCTATCTGAAAGACTTCTTCCTGTTTCTGCAAGGTGGCCGGCTTTTCCCTTTTTTTTGCCAGCAGTTGCTGCCACAGTCATGCTAACAAAAGAAATTGACCGAGTGACTTTGGGCAGGAACTGTTGCTTTGTGGTACCTGCCAGTTCTCATTGTTATCTTCTCTGGATAGGTGGAAGCCTGTCCTATCCTAGCCAAAACAGCCTCAATGGTCACCAAGACACCCCTGTAAGAGTTAATTCCTAGATTTAGATTGCCCCCCTCCCGGGGTCTGACAACGGCCTGGCCTTCACGGCCAAATCTGTCAAAGGTTCTAAATGTTGATTGGAAACTTCATCACATCTATAGGCAACAGATAGAAAAGATGAATGGGCCGTTAAAAGAGACTTTAAATAGGCCCTTGAGATCAGTGAAAATTGACCAACCTCCTCCCTTTTGTCCTAAGGGTCAGGTGCAGCCCATATCAAGGCTGAAATCATGTTTAGGAGACCTCCCCTGCCCAGAGATGTTCATAAGGCAGAAATTATTATCCAATTTCACCTCAAGTCCTTACAGGCCCTGCAAGAGATCCAAAGGGCCACTCATCAGATGCTGTATCTACTCATCAAAAGCCTGCATCTGAGCCTGCCCACGAATTCTAGCCTGAAGACCTCGTATGGGCCAAGAGGGTCATGACCCATGGTCTGGAGCCAGCACGGAAAGAGTCACACCCTGTGGTTATCACCACTCCACAGTGGTGAGGACACCAGTGTCACCCTGTGGATCCACCACACCCAGCTGACAGAGGCCACAGAGGACAACAGATGGATCCTCATCAAGTCATCTGACGCCCTGAAAATAAGACTGGTATGGGCCCTATCATTATGGTTGTTCTATTTTGTCCCTTTGTTCCCCCCAAGGGAAAGGTCCAGAGCCCCTGTGAGCCAGGAACTTGAGTATGGGTCCTAAGAAAGACTGGTTGCAGGAACTCATGGCCAGCCTGTTCTTGGAGACCCAACTGGTCTTCCAGGTAGATTTCTGTACAATATTACATCCAGAGGCTACTGGGGAATGGATGGTTCGCTTACTCCTGGGGAGGAGGAGCATGGCTGTGGGCTGTGAGCCCACCGATGAAGAGATGGGGTTCCCGTCTATGCAGTCCTATGCCTGCCCAGCTTCCAGGAGCCAGGCAAACACGCATTTTTTTTTTTTTTTTTTTTTTTTTTTTTGCTCAGTTGTGAAACCATGTCTTCCTGGGAGCATGCTGATCCTGTCATGGCCCCAGAAAAACAAACCCCACCTGTGATCACCTGACCCGACCCATTGGCCCAAACTGGCCCATCTCCAGACCCTCAGAATATGAGCCCCCTAAAGCGGCAAGCTCCAAACTCCAGTTTTGATGTGGGAGTGTCATATCAATCTGTTGATTTCATTGGATGAGCAATAAAGAAACTGCTGGCCCTGATAGGTTAAAAGATAGGTGGGCGGAATAAACAGAATAGGATGCTTGGCGGAAGAGGAAGTGAGGTCAGACTCTGCGCTGCTTCCAGAGGGACCGGACAGCTGCCATGCTCTGCTCTCCCAGGCAGCTGCAACCCACGATGGATTTAGGCTAGAATCTTCCCGGTAAGCGCACCTTGGGGTGCTTACACACATTACTAGAAATGGGCTAGTCCAGGTGCGAGAGTTAGCCTAGAAGAGGCTAGATAGAAATGGGTCAAGCAGTTAAATGAATACAGTTTGTGTGTTGTTATTTTGGGCATAAGCTAGCCAAGTGGCCGGGGTGTTGGGGATGCAGCCCCGCCGCTCCTATTTCAACACAGTTTCCCAAGAATTCCTTTAATAACCCCGGGAATAAAGGTGTAGGAGGAGCCCCTCAGTGTTTGGGTTGCCAGAGAGTTCACCAGTTCCTTCATCATCCTCAACTGGACATAGGTTGGCACTGCTGGCTGTGCCTAGACACCAAGCCCCTAGTCAAACATGCAGGGCTGTCTCTTCAACGGAAGGGATATATAATTGAATTCTCACCTGAAGGCTGGGGTGGATGAGGTTAATAGTCAGGTGACCTGTGTTGTCTGTGGGGCCAGGCCACAGCTGGCTCCCCCAGGCTCTTATGTCAATCATCCTCCTAGACTCACCTTGGGTGTCTCTCAGTCAATAGAACCCTCTTTACAGAAGAGGTCACGTGTGCCTTACAAGGAGTTTCAATGTAGTCATGCCATGAGCATTATTATACACGGGATGGAGTTAATATCACCAGGAAGCTTCTTCTTCACAATTGTGCTATGCGTACATGGTCTGAAATGAACTGCCTGGTACCAGACTCAGTGTGAGCCAGTGCCAGCGCTGAGTCCTGCTGACTGGGACCTCTTTCTCGTGTCATGTTGACTGACACTCTGCTGGCCATGGTGTTTGCAGAGACCCCACTGGTTCACGGCCATCATGGCAGGGAACATGACAACAGACAGGCAGACACGGCACACGCATGAGGCACATACATAGAGTCAAATGGGAAATGTTTGAACTTCTGAAACCTCAAAGCCCACCCCTCCCCCACAGTGACACGCCTCCTCCAACAAGGCCACACCTCCCAGTCCTTGGCAACCCGTTCCACCAACTGGACACCACACCAACATTCAAACATACGAAAATAAGGGACTCCACTCATTCTAACCACAAGTCATTTCTTTCCTTCCACCTCGTGCATCCTGGCTACACTGAGGTCATCAGGTTTGGTGACAAGTGCCTTTGCCCACTGAGCCATCTTCCTGGCTCAGATGCTTTTTTTTTTAAATATGTATTTATTTATTTATTTATTATACAATATTCTTTCTGTGTGTATGCCTGAACGCCAGAAGAGGGCACCAGACCTCATTACAGATGGTTGTGAGCCACCATGTGGTTGCTGGGAATTGAACTCAGGACCTTTGTAAGAGCAGGCAATGCTCTTAACCACTGAGCCATCTCTCCAGCCCGCCCAGATGCTTTTCTGAGCTGACTTTAACAAAGGGGCATTCAGCTGTGAAGCTGCATGGCAGGCAGAAAGGGGCAAAGCTTCAAAGTGTGAGACTGTCCTGGTAATTCAGTTTTCTTTTACATTTTTATTTTTTGATTTTTTTGAAACAGAGTTTCTCTGTGTAGCTTTGTAACCTGTCCTGGAGCTCACTCTGTAGACCAGGCTGGCCTCGAATGCCCAGAGATCTACCTACCTCTGCCTCCTGAGTGCTGGGATTAAAGGCATGTGCCACCACCGCTGGTTTATGGTGTATTAAGCAAGGAAAGCACTCCAAGAACAGGAGTGGACATCTGTGATGTTTTGAATGAAAATGATCCCCATAAGCCATTAGAAAGTGGCACTTTTAGGAGGTGTGGCCTTGTTGGAGGAGGCATGTCACTGAAGGTGGGCTTTGAGGTCTCAGATCCTCAAACCAGCCCCAGTATCTTTCTCTTCCTGCTGCCTGGCAATCCAGATGTAGAACTCCCAGGTACTTCTCCTGCACCATGTCTGCCTGCATGCCGCCATGCTTCCTGCCATGTGACAATGGACTAAACCTCTGAACTGTAAGCCCCAGTTAAATGTTTTCCTTTGCTGTGGTCGTGGCGTCTATTCACAATAATAAAACCTCAACTAAAACAACTTGTGAGAGAAAGAAGAAAAGCTTTGTTTGTGTTTGTTTTTGTCTGTGTAATAGCCCTAGCTGTCCTGGAACTCGGTCTGTAGACCAGACTGGCTTCGAACTCACAGAGATCCACCTGCCTCTGAGTGTTGGAATTAAAGGTATGTGCCACCAACACCCAGCTGGAATATCACTTCTTAAAATGAGAAAAATCCATGAATGGAGAGATGCTCGGTGGTTAAGAGCACTGGTTGCCTTTCCAGAGGACCGGTTTTGGTTACCAACCCCACACGACAGCTCACAAATCACGTGTGACTCCAGTTTCAGAGCACCTAAGGGCTTCTTCTGGTCTCAAGCAGACAGTGTTTAATAGACAGTGGGGCCAGAATAAAGAGCACTTTATCTGCAGAAGAGGAACTGTATACATTTTATGTTTCCTTATTACTTGAACTTTTACAAATAAAATTGTTCGGCTGGAAATTTCCAGTTGACTCCTGCTTGATCCAGAAAGAACCATTCCTCTCTCCAAAACCCACTCTCTTATAATCTCCAACAAAGAAAAGGCGCCAAAAGCCCAGTTCTGCATTGTGGCAAACTCCTCCCCTGACATTGCCAGTGGCTCAAGACCCTGGCCAAAGCAGTCAGCTTTGACCATACTTGGGTCCAAACCCAGCTTGTGGAGGACACGTCATCGCTCCTGCCCTACAGGGTATACAAGGTGCATGCTTCTGTTCTGCTGCATTGTAAGCGGTGCAGCTAGGAAAGGAAGGGATCCTGGCCGAAAACCAAGGCAGGTCACAAACTCACCCCAAGTGTAGCAGGTTATAGCCCTGCTCCAGGGAAAGGCTTACCCCACTTAACAACTCTGCTCCAGCAGGAGAGGGCTTCCCCAGCAAAGCTGTTACAGTTCTGCTCAGGTCCCCAGAGTGTAACAACTCTGGTCGGCTAGGGGACGGTTTTCCCAGCTATAGCCTTATAGCCCTGTTCCGCTTTGCTCTGCTCCCTTCAATTCCTGCAAAAGACAGCCTCACCCAAATCTTATCCAAGAGACTTATTGGGAGGGAAGGAAGGAGGAGGACGGCTGCCGGCTCCAAGGTGGAAAAAGCAGCAACAAACTGACCGGGCACAGGGTTTATATGAGGTTTCTTGGGGGTAGAGTTTTTCCAGAGTGGAGATTTTCCAGGGTGGCAATTGGTCAAATTTCAATCCCTAAACTTGGAGAAGCTTGGTGATTCGCTGGATTTTGAGTTTAGGGATTGGTTCGTTTTGTGCTCAGGGATTGGTTGGTTTTTCTACTGAGTTGGTCTGAGGTGTAGTGTTTCTTTGGCTCTGGTTTCAGGGCCAAAGTGTGTTTCTTTCACCGGTGCTGGTTTCAGGGTCAGGGTGTGTTTTTTGTTTTTTTGTTTTTTTTTGTTGACACATATACGTGACTTCTCCTGCCCGATCTTTCGGGCTGGAGGACTTACCAGGGAGTTGCTTTGCTCAAACAAACCTGCTCTTTTGCTTTTTTAATTTGGCTCGATTTGGCTTACTGCATCGGCGAAGAAACCTATTACCCCGTTACAGAAAGCCTATTAAAAATGTATAACTTTCATAAGGTCACAGCAGATGCAAACCTCTCAACCCTGCCTTATCTGTGCTATCTGGCAGCCCTTGCCTGGCTATCTGACTCAGTGCAATACCAGGTTCTACACACACACATTGAATTAACGTCCCCGTGAGCTGTGACTCCCAGGATAAAAGTTGATCACTTTCAAGAAAATCCCAAAAGCAATTATTTCCTTCGTTTGTGTCTTTCAAATTTTCAGTAGCAGACATGGATTACACTTTTGCAGTGCAAGTCTCATCCGAGTTTCACACACGTCTCATCTAGTTTCACACGCGTCTGAAAGCCCAGCTACCACGACGCCTCTGCACCAGCCTGCCTCACGCATGCGCCCTACGCCTGAGGTGTGGGGGAGCGGCCTGCGCGCGCAGCAGGTCAAACGCAGCTGGGCAAGACTGTCTCCCCTCCCGCGTCGACTTTGCCCGAGGCGGAAGTGAGTGGGAGGGGCCTCGTAGAGGCGGCCGGCCCCGGAAGTGGGCGGGGCCGCGAACCCCACGGCGGACTAGCAGTCTCCCAGTCGGGTTGCGGCCGAGGCCGGTCCTGGCTTTGTAGCTCTCTCAAGATGGCGGCGCAGTCACCCAGCGGGATCCGCCTCAGCGCGGTGAGCAGCCGCGAGGGGAGGAGCGGGCCGGGTCCCAGGAGGGCGGGCGGGCGGGCCAGCGAGCGGGATGGCAGTGGGCGGCGGCGCCTCGAGGACCCGGCGCGGTGGCCGGGGGGTCGCGGCGCGGACGCAGAGCCGCCGCCATGTCGCTCCGCTCGGACGAGCGGCCGTGAGGCGATCGGTGCGCGCCGGGCGGCTCGGGCCGGGCTGCGGCCCCCGTCCGCCGCGGGCGGCCTGCCCCCGTCGGGCTTCGCGGCTGCCGCCAGCTGTTGTCGGAGCCGCGCCCTTCCCCGCCCACCCGTCCGCCCGCCCCGGAGCGGTGCCGCTGCGGGCGCGGAGCCGTCGGGCCTCGCCGGGGGCGGCCGGGGCTGCCGTGCGGACGCGGTTCCCGCTCGGGTCCGTCCGCCTCGACCGTGGCACGGACGCACCGAGCAGGGCCTCTCAGCCCCTCTTCGCTCGCCCGGCTCGCCCCTGCCGCTGCTTCTGGCCGCTGCCAGTTGTGACAAACCCTTCTGAAGCAATTGGGAGTGGTCACACAAAACGACTTACACTTTCAGGTCCAAAACATTGTGGGCGTGGCTTCTTCACCTGATGATTTCTGCAAAGTTTTATTCTGCGCTGGTCCTGAGGCTCTAGGCGGGGAAAGTACTTCCTCAGCCCAGGAGGTCGATGTTTGAAGGATGGCGGCCGGGGTTGGGGTTTTGGGGGGGTGCTGTGGTGTGGCATCCCTGTAATCCCAGCGCTCGGGTGACTGAGACAGGCAAATTCTAGGACAGTTTAGGGCGGGAAAGTCCTGTCTCAGAAAGAAAAAAAAAGTACTCAGTGTTATATTTCATTGCTGAGCGGTAAGGGTTTCTGGAGGTAAAAGCATGTCTCGTTTCCCACCGGCACTTCACGAGTGCATCCGCTCCGCGTCCATTCATTTGGCCATGATAGGGGATGTGATAGCCCCAAGTGTGCGTGAAACGTTACCTGGTTTTATTGCCTCTGCCTATTTGTGAGGTTGAGCATTCTTCATATGTTTGTTATGTTTTTAATTGCCTATTCATAGTTTGCCCAATCTTTTTTACATTTATTTACTTTATGTCTATGAGTAGTTTGCCTGCATGTGTTTATGTATGCTATCTACCTGTGTGCCTGGGATGAGAAAAGGGACTCAGATCCCCCTCCATTACTGAGTAGTGAGTTGCCCTGTGGAGTGCTGGGAACTGAACCCCGTCCTATGTAAGGGCCGTAGGTGCTCTTACCATTAGTCATTTCTCTTGAGCCATAGTTTGGCCATCCTAACTCCCCTTTCTTTTGAGAGAGAAATCGTACTGATTTACGAGGCTTGTTTCCATCTTCCAGGTCAATGACTTTTCGTTACATACTCTGTTTAATGAAATGGTTGCTTAGTAGTTAAAAGAGAGCAACTTGATTCTTTCTTTCCACTGGGTTTAAGCTCCTTAATTCTGCTTCCCAACTGGGTGAGTCTGGATAGAGTAACACTCACCCCCCTAGGCTCCAAAGGGTTCATGTTCCCAGGGAAATAATAAAAATTATTATGTGTTGGGGCTGGAGAGATGGCTCAGTGGTTAAGAGCACTAGCTGTTCTTCCAGAGGTCCTGAGTTCGATTCCCAGTAACCACGTGGTGGCTCAACCATCTATGGTGGATCTGATGCCCTCTTCTGGCTTAAAGGTGTACATGCAGATTGAGCACTCATATACATAAAATAAATAAATCTTTGCTAAAAAGAAAAGAAATCTGTGTTGGTTATGGCCAAGGTCCTGGAGCAGATTCCCCTGAGTAATGAGGTGGTGGTGGTGAGTGTGTGTTAGGGGTTATCCAACAAGGGGTCTCCTGTTTGCCAGGAAAACATTCTGTCGCTGTATTCCCAGTCTTAGGGAAGTTTCTAAATCATACAACAAAATATAAAAAATAAAGTTGTGTTGCTGTTTTACCTTGCCTGCCTTATGCACCTGATTGGTCTAATAAGTTGATTGGCCAATAGCATGGGAGGAGATATAGGCAGACTTCTGGGCAGGGAGATGAAATAGGAAGAGGAATTTAGGATTGAGGTAGAAAGAAAAGGAACAGCCAGGGAGACACCAGGGGCCAGTCAGCCAGAGAGCAGAGAGGGAGGAAGCAGGACACTAGAACACACCGAATGGGAGAAAGGTAAAAAGCCCCGAGGTAAAATGTAGACTAATAGAAACAGGTTAAATTAAGTTAAAAGAGTGAGAGGGACAAGCCTAAGCTAAAACTGAACGTTCATAATTAATAAGTTCCTGTGTCTTTATTTGGGATCTTGCTGGTGGTCCAAAGAAAATTCCAACTACATATAAGCTCAGTGCTAAGAAGGCTGAGACAGGATCAAGAGTTCCGGGCCAGCATGGACCATGTTTCTTGATCCTTTTCCTAAGTAAGAAAGATAAGGCCAGGCGGTGGTGGCGCACGCCTTTAATCCCAGCACTCGGGAGGCAGAGGCAGGCGGATCTCTGGGAGTTCGAGACCAGCCTGGTCTACAAGAGCTAGCTCCAGGACAGGCTCCAAAACCTCAGAGAAACCCTGTCTCGAAAAACCAATAAGCCACAGCCTGAAGAGTGCTCGTAGGTAGTCACAATCAGAAGAAAAAGGTAAATTAGATGTTTAGTTGGTTTGGGATCAAGTTCCCACCTTTTCCACCTCCTTACAAATTGCATTCTCTGACTCTTCAAGATTGAAGTGAAGGGCTATGGAAATGGCTTAGTTGAATAAAGTACACTGGAACCATGAAGTCCTGAGATCAGATTCCCTGCATTGGGGAGGTACCAGTCAATCTAGACACGACTAGTGAAAGACTGTCTCAAAAATAATTGAATTAATAATGGGCCTGGTAATGTTTCTATAGTTCTAGTTGCTCAAGAGGCTGCGGCAGGAGGATCACAAGCTAAAGGCCAGTCTGCACAACTTATGAGACCCAGTCTCAAAATATAAGTGAACCAGGGATATAGTTTAATGGTAGAGCACTTGGCCTGGCAAGGGAAGACTCTGAATGCCGTCCTTAGTATACATAAAGAGAAACAAACAAGGGAGCTTGGCCTGTGCCAGTAATCCAGCCAGCACTTGAGAGGTAGAGGCAAGCTCTGTGAACTCTGA